TTGTGACAGTTGCCACTGCACATGCATAAAAAATCCAGTATCCGCGCACCAAAACTTGCGGATTGGGCTGTCAGTGAATCAAATGAAAATGCTACAGCCAAGGAAGGCTTTTTATTTTTATTCATTTTTTAACACTTAGCAACATTCGTTAAGCAGGAGTCAAAAGTAGGCTAACACTAAGTAATCACGAATTCACTTTAGGAGCCCAGCACCATTGGCTCTTAATTTCCCACAGCTTCTTTGAAGAAATGCTATGTCATCAAACTCTTACTGCAGAGGATGACACCAAGGGTAAACAGACATCAAAGAGTCTGAGTTGAATGCTGAATGTAAAAAGGTTTTAGGAATACCTAAACCAACTGATTTCACTTAAGGTTTCCTTTTTCTTTTTTTGCTTAGAAAGTTGTCTGCCACCTGATAAAAATATCTATGCTAATTAAATTTATAACAACCATTTAAATACGTGTAAAACATTTTAGTTGCCATGTCTACTTTAATTTTCAGAAGTTTATTTTATTTTGTCTTTTGCTTTATTTTAATGGTACATGAACTAATGGTATCTCTTAGAATTGGTAGATAAAGTTGTTAGAGTCAATGAGTGAGGTATTAGGTTTGGAGTTTTAGCATTTCTGCCCTTCTCATAAAATAGATAACTCATCAGCTTGGATGAAAGAACATATTTTCTATCTGTACTCAGACTGTGTTTTAACTGTTGGGGGTGCTCCTCTTTAGCAAAAACTCTGCAGGCTGCTCTTCATTTTGTTTGACTGAGGACCCTTTTTTTGGTGGTGGGGGATCCTATGTAACTGTCCCCAAAATACTTCTTGGGAGGAAAGCTACTAATAGCTTTATTTCATGCGTATGGTTTCCTTGAAAGCGTTGGGCTGACTCTTGATTCCTCTGCTAGGGGAGCTGGCTGCATCTTTATTGAAATGTTCCAGGGTCGGCCTTTGTTTCCTGGGGTTTCCAACATCTGGGAGCAGCTGGAGAAGATCTGGGAGGTAAGAGAAGAATCCCTCCTAAATGTGAAAAGAAATATTTGCCCTCACGCTTTGAACCAAGTTGCTTTGGAGGTGAATGACATGATCCCTCCATTTTGTGACATTGAGCCACACCTCTGGTGTGACTGGTGTTTGCCGCAAATGTACACCTTGGGGATTCGTGGTCAAGGAGCCCTCCATGGGCACGCGGCAGCCTATAAACCCACCTGAACCCAAGGGTCCCACACCCTATATCATTACTATCTGGCCCTCCCAGGGCAAGTTCTCCCATTTGCCACTTTGGTACAGCGTTCTCCCCTGACACGCATCGGGCGGCCGTGAGTGCAAATCTACTCAATAGGCAGCTGTGCTAGTTTCTCAAGTATTAATGTTAGGATGGTCTTGTATGTTATTAGTATATTTGAAAAGTTGTTCATAGATTATTTTTATATGGCATAATCATGTTTAAGTGAGGATGCCTTAAAAAACTGAATCATTTATGGTTCTTTGCATTTTACCACAGCACTTAGAAATCCTGCAACACACAAAAAAGTCTAGATGCTTCCAGGATCTGAGGGGAAAGTTCGAGTTTCCAGAACTGGCCTTCCTGACTAACACTGGCCATTTGAAGGGTATTTTAGGTACTTCAGTCTATGGACAGATTTGGACTTGAATCTGGACACACAATACCAAAGAATGAGCGAGGCAGCAAAAATAAACATGTCTTAACACATCAGCCCGACAGGCCCTGCCCAGGAAGCCATGTTCATTTCCACCACTATCTTCTCACACTGCAGTGAATCAAAGGGGCTTTGCTTTGACATTTACGACAGCTCGTTACACATTTCAAACAAATAAACATATTAGAAATAACACTGGCCCGGAGTCAGGGAACACTCATTCCTAACCCAGCTCTAACTTGAGACACAAAGTGGAGTAAATCACATTAACAGCCTCGGGGTCTTAAATGATATTTAATTCTCAGGCGCCATGAAGTGATGGCGTCTTTGGGCCAAGTTTAAAGAGAGTAGTGTCATCCCTACCATTTGTGATTGCTAGTCTTTTCTGTTCATTTCTCTTTACTCCCAATCAGTTACTTCTGAAGCTTATCAGTTTACATAACTCATTGTTGACCTTGAACCTGGCCTTCAAGAAGAGAGTTCCTTTTTTTTCCCCTTAAAGCTACATATTTTATTCAGAGCCCTGGTGACATAGTGGGTTTGGTAGTTCAAACCCAGCCTCTCCCTGGGAGAAAATAAAGTTATCTGATCCTGTAAAGATTTACAGTCTTGGAAACACTAAGGTGCTGTGTGCTGTGTCCTATTGGATAGCTATGGGTCAGAATGTATTTGGTGGCAGTGGGTTTGTTTGGGTTTGGTTTATATACATACATTAAGGGCACCAGGAGGTCAAATTAATTCCATTTCATTTTCCCTCTGGTCCTGTGCAAGCAGGTAGAGTCCAGAGTTTTGTTGTCGTCTCTGTAGTTCCAAGGTTTGAGGGCAAAGTGAGAATTCCACCACACTCAGGTTCGGTGTTGTCTTTTATACCACGACATCTCAAGGTTTGAAAATGAAACATATTTCTCATAGCCCCTGAATTTGTGTTTGACAAATACGGGCTTTCTAAAGAGAGAACTGTTGTTTGCTTCTGGCGCACAATGCTGTGTGAGACACGGCCTGGTGCTGCGACAGCCTTACAATTGTTATGTTTGAGTTCGTGGTTACAGCCATTGTGTCCACTCGTTTCTTTGGGGATCTTCCTCTGTTTTGCTGACTTTACCAAGTGGGACGTCCTTTCCTAGGGACTGGCTTTTCCCGATTACATGAGCTAAGTCTGAAACAGAGTCTTGTCGTCCTTGCTTCTAAGGGGGTGGTTGAAAATACCATGGCTTGGGTCAGGAGCACCTTATACACTGAGCTGCTAACCACAGGGGTCCGAAGTTTGAACCTACCAGCCACTGTACGGGAAAGAGATGAGGCTGTCTACGCCTGTAAAGTCTTGGAAACCCAAAGGGACAGTTCTACCTTGTCCTATAGAGTTGCTATGAATGAGAATCAATTCAATGGCAGGGAGCTGTGTGTCTGTGTCTGTTCGTGTCCCCACGCGCAGTAGCTTTGCCTAATACAGTATGTTGTTTGATTTATGGACTGCTACTTCCATGAGCATTGATTGTGGACCTAAGAACTTGAAATCCTTTACAACGTCAGTCTTTTCCCTGTGGTCATGGTGTTACTCTTGGTCCAGTGGGGAGGATTTGGGTTTTCTTTACATTGAGTTGCAATCCATACTGAAGACTGCAGTGCTTCAGTCCTCCTCACGTTCAGTAAGCAAGGTTAGTCTGCTGTGTGCCACAGGTTGTTAATAAGCTTTCCTCCAATCTTGATGCTTCGTTCTCCATCCTATAGTCCAGCTTCTAAAATTATTTGCTCACCATACCTATGACATAAGTAAAGAGCGAACTAGGAGAGCCACTTGGGGGCACTGTGGTATCTGAAAGGAGCCCTGGTGACACTGAATTAGCTACGGGGTTGCTAACCTTTAGGTTGGCAGTTCAAACCCATCAGTCACTCTTTGAAAGAACGATGAGGCTGTTGGTACGTATTTATGGTTTCAAAAACCCCACATTGAGTCGCTATGAGTCAGATTAACTCAATGTCAGTGGGTTTGGTGTTGATGTGATATTTGATGTAGGAATTGCTCTGTTGAAAGCAGTGGATGCATTCTAAATCTCCCCACCTCCACCCACAATTCTGCTCTACGTTTATCCTGAGACAGCACTCTTAGAAATAAAGACATAAAGAAAAATCCTGAATCTTTACCATCTTCCTGAAATGTGTACATTTGTGTGTTTACATTTGAAGACCTTTGACTATTAACTAACAAAACTTTTTAAATCTAAATCTTTCCAGGAGTTGTTTTTACAAATCATTCTGGATTTTGTTGTAAAATCAGATAAAATAAACGGTGTAGACTCTAAATCCATTTACCAAAGTGCCTTTCGTTTCCATTCTAAAAAGGCAGACAACGCCCCTTCAGCTCCCTGTGGTTGGAACCTCGGACGCACGAATCACCTTTTAGAGACTCCAGGGCAGCAATCCTTGGGTGTTTCGTTTCCCAGAGCGTGAAACCAAGCTCTAGTCCTTTCCTTAAGGGTAAAACAATTCAATCACATCCAAACAAAAGGGATCAGGGATCAGGCATCATCAGAACCAAAAATCTTGCCATAGTGAATGAGGGGAGAAGTGCGGCGTGGAGACCCAAAGCCCATGAGTAGGCCACTGGAGATCCCCTTGCAGAGGGGTCTCGGGGAGGAGACGAGCCAGTCAGGGGGCGATGTAGCAAAGATGAAAAATACAACTTTCCTCTAGTTCCTAAATGCTTCCACCCCGCCCCCACTATCATGATACGAATTCTACCTTGCAAGTCTGGCTAGACCAGCGATGTACACTGATACAGATGGGAACTGGAAACACAGGGGATCCGGGGCAGATGGTCCCTTGGGACCAGTGGTGAGAGTGGCGATGCTGGGAGGGTGGAGGGAGGGTGGGTTGGAAAGGGGGAACTGATTACAAGGATCTACATGTGACCTCCTCCCTGAGGGACGGACAACGGAGGGGAGGGTGAGGGGAGATGTCAGACGGGGCAAGATATGACGAAATAATGATTTATGGGTTGTCAGGGGTTCGTGAGGGAGCGGGGGAGGGGGACCTGGTTGGGGGGGGCTTAAGTGGAGAGCGGGTCTTTTGGAAATGATGGGGGCAATGAATGTGCAGGTGTGCTTTACATGGTTGATATGTGTGTGGATTGTGATAAGAGTTGTATGAGCCCCTAATAAAATGATTTTTAAAATAAATAAATAAAGCTCAAACAAAAAAACATCCAAACAGAAAATTGAGTGTAAACTTCCACAAGATGGATGTTCCATTCTTGCTTAAATTTAAAAATCTAAGTTTAAAGGTCATAAAAAAGGTTTTATCCCTTTGACTTTGTGAACTAGAGCACCAAGGAAGCACCCCCGGGACCTTCCCCTGGGGGAGCTGTGGATGCAGCCGCCACGTGCTTCCATCCCCTCTTCCTCTCGGTCGCCGTTGCTTTCCTTCAGTAGGCTTCCCGCTGACACAAGGCTTACAGACACGTGTGGCTCACGTGCACTTGTTCACACGTGCATCTGGGCAAGGACACACAGTGGTGGGTTGAAAGAGAAGCATCCGCTCCTGTCCCACAAAAGAAGAATGAGCCCAGTTGGTGTTTCAAGATGGACTCCTGGGCTTAGTGTTCCCTCAGGATCAGGGTGGCTCATAGGAAAAGCCTATACGTAATCCTCTCAGCGGCTTTTCAGTTTGTTTCGGGAATGGATCAAAGAAGGGCGATTTTCTGGGTGGCATGATTTTTTAAAAATCAAAATGGAGAATAGCACTTCAGTCAGTGTCTTTTTGTGTTAGGGCCAGCTTAAGAGGTACCCAATAGTACGGCTCTCCACCACAGGCCTGCTCAACATAGATTCCGGACGCCTCCTGGAGGAGAGTCAGTCAGTGTGGGGCCGGGTGTGACTCCCTCCAGAACGGCCGAGCTGGCATTGACGAGGGAGCCTCAAAGAGTTCAGGGAACAGGGAATCGAAAGACAATGGAATTTTTCCATGAACTTTTTGATGTTCCCTCATAGACTTTCACAAGCAGAGTCACTACCCTGTTTCCACAAGAGAGGATTTTAAGAAGCGTTATACTTTAGTGGTGTAGTGAAAGGTGTTACTGCCTCACTCACATGTATTTTTACCAATATTTAGCTAAGACAAAAGTAATATGACTTTGGCTGCCATGTATGACTAGCTATGGGTTTTATAAGGCACCCTGGAGGTGCAGTGGATCCAGTATTGGGTTGCTAACTGGAAGATGGGCAGTTTATACCCACCAAGCACTCCAAAAGAGAACCATGAAGCATTCTGCTTCTGTGAGTTTGGGAGTAAGTCATGAAGGTGGGGGAGGGGGTGG